CACGAGCACCCACATGAACAAGTATATGTATGTACATATGCAGTGCGTCAAGGTGAAGCTATGTTGATCATGCACACATGGGTTCACTACCACACTTTCCTGCAGTCAGGCTGCAACCACACAGTGTTTATTGTAGACAAACCACACCGCCGTAAATCAGACCCAAAAGTGGACACACATGGCCATGTACTGTTTGAAGCCGTTATCGCGGGTCGTTTACCACTGGAGAGGCCGTAAACTAGGTGGGGTGGTCTTGAATGCTAACCCGGGAAACCCAGGTTCGCAAAAGCCACATTAGACTGGGTCCAGTAATGGTTCAGATATTCAAATGTTTAGACTTGTGAAATCCGTAAACCAATTTATTTGTGACGTTTTCAAGAATGGCTTGCATTGATGTTCTTTTTTGATTTAGATGGTCAGACGGAACTCTTTTGGACTTGAAAAATTGGCAGCTTTTGCAGCCTGACACCAAGAATGGAGAGGAGCTGTGTGTCCAGATGCGAAATGATTTAGGTATTTGATTCTCTATGGAGGTAAAATATAAAGGAAAGTATCTAGTCGTAGGCTGGATATAACTTGGCCAAGTCTTGTCCTCCATTTCTGGTTTCAGTGGCACAAAATGAATGAGAGCTATTACATTTCTATCCCTTTCTTGTCAAGATGCTGCTTTGCCATTGTGGGTTTGATGTTGGGCTTTTCTTCCCACCAGCATGTGGCTCAGTCTGTTTGGATTGGAAATCACTACAGAGAAACATCTCCTCTCCAAGTGTTAATCCTCATTGGCTCAGATGGGCTAAAGGTGGTTGTAGCAACCATGAAGCTACTGAGTCAGAGGCTAAGAGAAGGCAAATGCCGATAGGCTTAGCCTGTTTTTCTCTCTAAGTTACGCAGAGATAATTGGAGTGAAGTAGATTGCTCAAGGACATACAGGAGTTGGATAGCAGTTGGTGTTGAGCCTTTGACTAGCCAATCAGGATTCAGGAAGGCCCAAAGTACCAGCAGGCAAATAAAGAGTGCTTCCAGTAGTCAATTCATATCACTGAAATTCAAGCACATCCATCTTTTATCACAGTAGCAGCTAAACGCAAGTCTACAGGTCATTGATACTTCCTCAGTATACAAAATATGCATGTATGTAGAGTTGGAAAACCCTGACCGAAGCCGCGATTGTGGTTATGGCTATTGCCTATAGCAGGTCTTGGCAAAACTTTACTTATGGACCACATTGTGTTGTCACAAACAGTTCATAGGTTCCAGTTTTGTCCAGACTGGTTTCGCATTTCCTCCTTTTTTTCATTTCCAAAGTGATATTCCTCAAAGGCAAGTGGCTGGACACCAACTGCGGTCTCAAGGCGCGCTTCGTCTGCAAGAAGAACGTGGACGGCACGTCCCCCACCCATCCACCCACCAGTCCACCCACAGGGGGATGTCCCACGGGCTGGATGAAGTACAACAACCGCTGCTACAAGATGATGGGACTGGGGGGCCAACAAGACCCCAAGAAAAACTGGCAGGATGCCAAGAAAGAGTGCCAGAAGACAACGGGGGCTAACCTGGCCTCCATACACAGCACTGAAGTGCAGAGTAAGTATATCTCATTCCTTTGAATTGCCCACAGATCAGTGAGCCTGCCCCTAAAAGTTATTTTTTTTGGGGGGGAGGGGGAATAAGTACTCTGTGTTACTTTTGAAATACAGCAGCAAATTTCAGAAAGGTTTATGCAGTACCCTAACTTCATGTTGCCATATTTTTACTGCATAAGTTGAGCAACAAAATCATGAAATAGTGCAGTTGTCCACTGACTAAGTCTGGGACTCGTGCAGCAAATTATGCCATACTTAAGTGCAATCATAGTTTATGTTGTAGACTGAAGAAATCACATATAATGAACGATTTTACTAATAAAATATGTTTGTTATAGTAAGCCTTGTTGAGAGGATTAATGGAAAACTGATTTGAGATTTGCTTCCCAGTTGCAACTAAGAAAAGACAAACACTCTATTGCATGGTGGGTGGAGTGTTTAATGACTGCTGTGGTACTGATGTGATCATTCACATCCAGGGCATTTGAAAGAATCAAAATTTTGTACGGCTGAGCATTTTTGTGTGAAATTGGCGTTAAGCACATTGTGTAGCTATACCACACATTTATGGTATGAGACTCACACATGGTGCAAAGTTACACCAAGTGTCAACCAGGAACCATAATTATATTTTGTGTATCAGGCCTCTTGCAATACTTAATACCAAACAGACTCTTAAACTCCAAATTGATTCACCAAAAGATCTGTACGAAAGCCCGGATTATAAATTTTTCAACTTTTCACAATGGTATCTTAACACACTTCATTTTGAAACTGCAAAATGCCATTAGAAAGGAAATGAATGGATGTAATGTTGCATTGCTCATAGCCCTAACAGTCCCACATCCTCTGATTTCAATATGATTTTACATACGCCTTAGGGGGTTAGGGTTTAAATGATATTCCAAATGAATGAAAAGCCCTGTTCTGCTTTTCAAGTATTTTTTATCCTTGACTGTTTTTGCCATTTACACTTGTCCTTTTATCTGTCTTCTCGGCATTTTCTGGCCTCCCCAGCTTATTTGACCGCCAACATGATCAACGCCAATGGTGACGTGTGGATTGGGATGTCTGCTCTGGCAAGCGGCAGCAAGTTTGTGTGGACGGACAGCAGTTCGGTTGATTTCGTCAATTGGGCCATCGATCAGAATGATCAAACGTCCTTCCTGGTATGGCACTGCTACCCAGTAGCTCTCCCATATTTTGTCTCGTTTGAAAAAGTACCTGGGCGGTACACTAAATTTCAAAGCTGTGCATCAGGAAAAGGGTACTCAAATACCCAAATGATGATGTCAGAAATGTGGTCCAAATGATGTAATCAGATACCTGAAAAGACCCATACAATGTATCTAATAACATTTCAGACAAAGAGAAAGAAAGATCTTATGTTTATGGCCAAGGTTGTTGGTAATTTTTTGGGGAATTTGCAATTTGAATTCACGCTTACCATAACTTGCATTTTTGAAGTTTGAGGTCATGGTGTCTGTGTACCTTTTCTTATTTCAGTAGGCTATATGGTTCCTATGCTACCCATAAATTCAAACCACTTACCACAGACGATCAAAAACTTTGACCAAATTGGTACTAATCGGTGGTGTGTGGTGAGTTCCCCCACTCTGTCCACACTGATCACAATCTCTTGTTTTTTTATTTTTTGCAAAATTACTCCAGCCTGGTAATGCTTCGGATTGCATCAGGATGATGTACGATGACAGCGAGTCGGGCAAATGGCTGGATGAGGATTGCAATGCTCTGCATGGCTACCTGTGCATGATGAAGCCAGGTAAGTGTTGAGCAATCCAGACGGATATGGAAATACATCATTCTGAAAAAACGACATGAACCTCATGTTAAAAACATTGTGCTCATATGGCATTTATTTGTATAGAATAATAGCACCGACTCTTGATTTTAAAAAATCAGTGCATGGAATCACAGGCATCACAAGGGATGGGGTCAGGAGGGGGGCACTTGCTCCCCTTTGGGGGAAAAAGTTAAAATCAAAGCATTTCATGGATTCTATACAACTATTTCCAAACTCGCTGTGAGATGTTAATTTTTTCAAGAGGTATAGACAGTGACATTTAATTATGTTGCAGTTGGTATGTTGGTCCTAGAATGCTAGGGCATCAAGTACAGACAACACATTGTGTATGCAGGACTGTAGTTTCCAAGCAAACTTCTCCACCTGAGAGATTGAGAGTCCGGAGGAAAATGCCGAAGCGCAGTGCATCATGAGGCTGATAAAAAGCCTTTTACAACAGAAGAAAGTGCACCTCTGTGGATTCAGTCCACCCTGCGGGATTGTCTGTTCTCCTTCAAAACCTTTTCTTTGTTGTTTTGAATGCTTCAGATGACCAGTATCCAGACAACCCAGTTACAAACCCGTGTCCGGGAAAAAATGACTACACGAAGTTCGGCGATGTGTGCTTCAAGATTTATGTGGACACAAAGAGAAAATTTAGTGACGCAAAAGCCCAGTGCATTGCAGATGGAGCCAATCTCGCATCCATTATGAATGGCTACGAGCAGGCGAAGCTGCAGTCGATGATGAACGATAAAGACAAACCAGGGAATCTCTGGATTGGATTGTATGATGATCCGGTAGGTTGAATGGTTGGTCTTCACTTTAGCTACTAAAGACAGGAAAGTAGATGGAAAAAAGCATGACAAACACACGTTTCAATTTCCTTTCTGGTTTGCTGAAGCCTCCTCATATAGCCACATGTTGATGCCTCTGGGGTGTTATTAATTGTGTGACTTGATCTGAACACAGGCATGACATCCACAGGCATTGATTTTGAAA